CCAACAGCCCAACATAGCCCTAAAATAGCCCAACAGAGGCCCAATATAGCCTCCAAATGGCCCAACATAAGCCCAAAACCGACCCAAAATTCAACCTCAACGGAACCATGCTTCCGTTGGGGTTGAAATTTTAGGCCCGAAAGCCGCCAAAAGAGCCCCAAGTGGCCCAACATAGCCTTCTATGTTGAGCCTATGTTGAGCCCATGTTTGGCCAAAAAAACGGACTCTTTTGAGCCCCCCTGTTTTTGGGTCATGTCCGGGCCAGATATGAGGGAGTTGCGCCATCTATGTGGGCATTCACAGCCTGATTTTGGCGAATGAGTGGGAGTTGAGCCATCTATGTCCCAAAAAAGCAGCTTGATTCGATGTTGAGAGAAGGGAGAAACCAGCGCAGAAGATTGCAAAAAATATGTATTTTTTTGGGACATAGATGGCTCAACTGGCCTGTTTTAAAGGGAGTTGAGCCATCTATCCCCCATTTTTTGACATAGATGGCGCAACTCAAGATTCTGAGCCATCTACTCTTAGGGGGGAGTAACTGTTTTCCTTTTATGAATAACTCGTGTCCTTGTATATGAAGAACCCATGTCCTTGTCTGAATAACTAATGTCCTTGTACGTATATACTATGAATAACTCATGCTCTTGCATGACTTACTCCAGAACTTCCATATATGAAGAACTAATTTCCTTGTCTGAAGAACTTATTTCCTTGTATATCAATAACTCGTTTCCTTCTATGGATAGAAGTCCATACCTCAGTAACTCAGAATATAGCAGGACAATGTCCAAGCGCTACTTAGATAATCAGATAGTGAATTGACTGATACACACTATGACAACCTTCCTCGGTTTTCTCGGCTAAGGTCGCGATGCTTCTACCTTCTATCTCTGGAACGAGCACTCGGGACATATGGTTCCTTTGCCAAAGACGCCGCTCGGCCGAAGATTGGAGGAGGAAAGAAAATAATATGGAGCTGTTACATGGTCTGGCAGCAAACTATATACAGTAAATGGCTTACCCCATTGAATAAGCATGCGCGTACCTGAGGAAGGCATGATGATTGTAGGCTAGGGGTTGAAAGAAGTAGTACAAATACGAAGTCAACCCCCACAGACAAGTATGAATCTATTATGTATATGTGTCTGTGTGCTTTGTCCCATTCGTTTCCAAAGCTTGACAACAATGGTGCAAGAGGAGAAAGCAGAGGTTTAGGTCAGGACGTTTCAAGTCGGAAAAGCGTTGTTGTTACGCCACCCAGTCTGTTGTCCAAACTGTTGCTTCCCCGGTTTCAGGGATCCTGAAGCGAAGCGCTAGTTGGGTCGGCCTTGCTGTTCACTGCGCTGATGCATGCACGGAAAGATCCAAAACGGATTGCCTTTTACGTAAAACATTGCAGAGAAACATGTGCATGTAATATGTGCTTCTTGTTTTACATGTAAGTGTGGTTTATTGAGTAACCAGCACCTAAGAAGCTTGTCATCTTACACAGCAAGACCACTGATCAAATCAATTTGGATTCAATAAGATGGGTTGTGTGCAAAGTAGCTGGTGTGGAAGTGTGCTATGTTTTGTTTTGGTGTTGGCGGTTGCGATGCCTGCGAGTAGCGCGGTACATCTTATATAACAAGCCAAGATCTACACAAGGCTTTGGCAAGGTGCGCAGTGCATTGTCAATGTAGGCCTGTGACGGCTTTAGCTTTGGATATCGCCTTGTAAAGCTGATGCTGTATGTCAGCCGCGTGATGACTCTGGGAGGGGTGGGCCGGGCGACTTCTTGCGTCACAGCAGGTGCTCCAGGTTGCCTGGTGGTAGCGGAGCGTGCTGCTCCTGTAGCACAGGACGGCCGCGTTGTCCTGGATGTGTCTGTCTTGGTTTGCCTTGTTCCTATAGTGCGCAGGGCATTGCGTAGGCCTGTGAAGGCTTTAGCTTCGGATATCGCCTTGTAAAGCTGATGCTGTATGTCGGCCGCGTGATGACTCTGGGCCGGGTGACTTCTTGCGTCATAGGAGGTGCTCGAGGTTGCCTGGTGGTAGCGGAGCGTGCTGCTCCTGTAGCATATAGGACGTCCGCGTTGTCCTGGACGTGTATGTCTTCTTTTTCCTTGTTTCCTATATAGTGTGCACGGCATTGCGTAGGCCTGTGACGGCTTTAGCTTCGGATACCGCCTTGTACAGCTGATGCTGTGTGTCAGCCGCGTGATGACTCTGGGAAGGGTGGGCCGGGCGACTTCTTGCGTCATAGGAGGTGCTCGAGGTTGCCTGGTGGTAGCGGAGCGTGCTGCTCCTGTAGCACAGGACGGCCGCGTTGTCCTGGATGTGTCTGTCTTCTTTTTCCTTGTTTCCTATAGTGCGCAGGGCATTGCGTAGGCCTGTGACGTGTCTGGCTTCAGAGTGCGCCTGGAAGAGACTATGCTGTATAGGTCAGCATGTGGTGGTGGTAGGAGCCACCGCGTGACACATGCCATAGAGCCGAGTCGTTCTTCTACACGGGGTGGTGCTAGGGGCCACCGCGTGACACATGCCCTAGAGCCGAGTCGTTCTTCTACACGGGGTGGTGCTAGGGGCCACCGCGTGACACATGCCCTAGAGTCGAGTCGTTCTTCTACACGAGGTGGTGCTAGGGGCCACCGCGTGACACATGCCCTAGAGTCGAATCGTCCGTATTTATGGGGTGGTGCTAGGGGCCACCGCGTCACACATGCCCTAGAGTCGAATCGTTTGCATTTATGGGGTGGTGCTAGGGGCCACCGCGTGACACATGCCCTAAAGTCGAATCGTTCGTAGGTATGGGGTGGTGCTAGGGGCCACCGCGTGACACATGCCCTAGAGTCGAGTCGTCCGTATTTATGGGGTGGTGCTAGGGGCCACCGCGAGTGGTTCGTATGTATGGGGTGGTGCTGGGGGCGACCGCGTGACACATGCCTTATAGATAAGTCCGTACAAAGGCGCAAGGTGACGAGGAGAGGTGAAAGTTTACATCTCACGCGTTGGTCTTATTCGGGCACACGTTGTGAACACTGCAGTCTGTGCTGAGGCGCTCCGCTTTTATGGACATGAGGTAGAAGCAGCTCGCTTGTCAGGAGACTTTCGGTTGAATGGGAACTGGTGGAATGTGTGCCGAATGTCAAAAAGTTTGACGTCATATAAGCTGCATGGAATGCAATCCAAATTTGTGATGTAAGAGATTTGCTTGGAACAACATGACGCATGCAATTGAAACCACACAACCGCAAATTGTGGCTGGCAGCACGTCAATCCCCACAGAAAGTCTCTGTCGATCTCTTTCGTCTTTCTTTCGCCCGCCGATCTTGTGACACCAAGCATGATGTCTTTTTTCCCTCGCAATGTTCGCTGGGCTGACGTGTACGACGACGACCTCGATACCATTCAAAGCGAACATCTCAGCTGTTGTGCAGATGCAGTACATATGTTTGTTTCTGGTTATGCTATTGTGACGTTCGGAAAGCTTGTGTCGTTATGAAGCATTATGTGTGTCACTGCTAAGGTACTGATGTGACTCCTCTGCCAGCATCCGGCTCCTTGCTCTGAAGGGTTGATCTTTTTGCTACGTTCTGATGCTAGGGGCCACCGCGTTATACATGCTTTATGTTTCGATCGACAAAAATCAGTGGTGCTAATCTGCCACATGACGCACGCCTTTGACCGAGAGTCAGTCTGTGCATCCTTTGGCATGCTTGCACGTGTGGCTGAGGCAATGGTGCAGATGGATGCTTGGCTGCGTTACGGACCAAACAATAGCTGCTTTGATGTGGCAGAGTTGGATTCCGTAAGTTGGTATGCGGTGACGCCTGACATGTTTCCTCGGCGTGCTTAAGGTGACCATGATGGCGCCATGGTCGTGGATGCTTCCGAACCCATGGCGTGGTATGAGAAACCACACCCATGGGTAAACCTCCAACTGTTGAGCCGACGACAAAGGCAAAGACTACGGGAGAACCGATATTGGCAGAATGTTTTCCTGCATTATCACAAGAAGCTTGCTCGCTGGTGGCGACAAGTACGGCTCTGGGAGTGGCACGACTTCGAAGAAGCAATTGAAGAGCATTTAAACTTGATGGCTTCCCGGCCGGACTTGTTGAAGTCCAATGTTGGCGGGAAACCTTCTAGCAAAGTCCGTCCGAGGGCTATTTTGCCGCTCGGCTTGCATTGAAGCGGGTGCCAGTCCATGGGGCCAAGTGATGTCTAGGAAATTCGCCAACGGATTCGAAAGCAATCCTTCCAAGAGAAATGTTCGAAGAGGTTCCTTGAAAAGATATTGTGGAAATTCTTTGTTAAGTTGAAATTCCAAGGCGGCCAGCATCTGAGCCAACACGGTTTGCGAATGTATGCCTCGTCGACTCGTTTCGTTCCGTTGGCTTGCCGGTTCAGTATGACAGTGACGGCCCTTTCTGGGCCCTTGCGGATGGCAAGCGGATGCTGCAGCCACATGGGCTCCTTGGCTGCAAGAGTCTGTTTGGTTCGGTGTCTCTTGTTGCTTGAATCTTTCTCGGTCCTCTTCCATGTCAGGTACACGATCCTTGCGGCAAACGTCGGTCAAGATCTCTTTCCTGGCAGATATGTCTTATACCGCAAGGAACATTTCGTTGGGTTTAGAGTGTTCCCAGATGGAACGTGCCGCCTCCAAGAAAACCACAAAAGCCATTGCGGACAGGATTGTGCTCTTTCAGATTTCAGTTTTGAACCCTACGAAAAAATCTTTCAGTTGCTGGCAACTGGTGGGCCGAGCTCTTGTGGAAAGGTGGCCGGTGTACGCCAACAGTTCGAGGCAATCTTCCATGTAGAAGCTCGCACGTCAGATGGTGCAAGCCAGGTGGATTTGGGCGGTGACCATGTGTCGCAGCAAGTCAGTGATGTGTGCGGTGGCATGATTTCGTTCCAATCTGCATTGTCTCATAATATACTGCTTTCATGCGACGCCGAAACTTTTGACTTCGGCACTTTCGTGTCGAAAGCTCGCTCGGTGCTGCACCGGCGTCTTCGCCATCCGCCTCTAGCTATGTCCTTCTTCAAAGACGGGCTTCAGATTGCAGAGGACCTGATGTGGGAGGATCTTGGGTACCCTTCCAACGTGCAAGTTCTCATCACCACTACGCACAACAATCTCTGGGACAAGCTTGCACATGCCATCCTGCACAATGCCATCGCTGATGTTGAGTGGCTGTTGCGGCAGGGCCAAGATCCGAATGGAACATGTTCAGCAGGAACAACTCTCCTGGTCTACGCCTGCCAAGCGGGGGCACTTGGAGCTATGAAGACGCTTTTACAAAGCAAAGCGAGCCCGAATCTCATTGGCCCTGACGGTCTGAGCCCTTTGCACACTGCGACCACGAGGCGCGATGTCAGTGCAGCTGAACTTTTGTTGGTCTATGGTGCTGACCCGAACATGCCAAATTCTTTCGGTGATGCTGCAGTGCATCTGGCAGCGCAGGAGGACGATTCAGACATGGTTGGCTTGTTCATGGGCTGCGGCGCGGATCAGACTTGTCCTGGCCTGCTGCGACGCCTTAGTATCATTCAGAAGCAACCAGATGTTTGTGGCGGATCTGATGCGTGTGAGGAACCTCTTTTGAACAAAGGTCCTCAAGTATGGCTACGTATATGCCACAACCGCGCCGATGCCTTAAGGAGGCGCCAAATGTTGGAAGAGAGGACGCCCAAGACGCTGCAACAACTGATGGAGGCCGGGTTCACGGCACAAGAAGCTTCCTACTTCTTGGAGTCACATGCGAAGGCCAAGGAGAAGCAGGGCTGGTTTCGACGCTGGGACGCATCAATGCCTCCCATGGTTCGACAAACATTTGGCATCCTTAACGCCCAACGGCGTGGCGTGCGAATTCCCTTGCCGCCACTGTCTCGACCCTTGGTGTCGCTGCCGGCAAATTGCCCCGAACTTTTTCTGGGAACTGACTTCCATTTTGATTGGCTACAAGTGTGTCATCCGCATCCGCGAGACACACACATCCGCTTCGTGTCGGAAGGTCACAAGTATTTTGTGGACAACGAGCCCTTTGATCTTTCTGTTACTAGCTTTGTCTGTACCTTTTCAGAGGACTGTGTCGGATACTGTCTTAGGGTCTGTTGGTTTAAGATGATTGATGTTGTACACATTTTGGAATGCAACACCGCAATGAGATGAAAATAAGTTCTGGGAACAATTTGCCAGGAGTTTGACGCAGACAAAGCTATCGAGATGATGATGTCTGGCGCTCGTTGGCCTCGTGTAGAGTACATGAATGGCATCAAAAATGGAAAACTCGCTCATGCTTGTTTACAAGTTCCTGACTTGACAGCATTGGGCGCCATTCTCGCGCAGCCTTCCCTAAACTTAGCGCACGCAAGCCATTGTCTGCGCAGCACATTGGATAGTTGCTCTGCTGAATCACACGCCCTGCTTGCGAGCCACATTATGTCTCCAGCTGAAATCAAGGAACATTGGGCCCTAAAAGCGGAGATGGCATCGCATGCAGGGACGTGGACCCATCTCCAGTGCGAGTGTGTCTTGAACGGTGGGGCCATCAAAGGAACTTGTGCTGAGATGGACCTGCTACGTACCTTTGTCGGCCGCACTCGGCCTCTGCTTGCCTTCCGTACAGAGTGGTGCATCTGGGCTAGCGATGAGAGGTTGGCAGGTTGCATCGACTTCGCAGCGATTGACGAGAAGGGACACCTTGTGTGCCTTGGTTTCAATGAGATAGTCACGCAAAGTGTGCCGCAGTGAACAAATGGTTTAAGAGGGAACCCCATTCTCTGCGTTGATGCCTCAGGCTAGTTGACTGGAAGCGCACCAAGAATTTGCAGAACAAGTTCCAAAACCCTTGGCGCGCACTGGCTGAGCCGTTGGAGCACTTACCAGATGCGCAAGGTGTGAAATACCACTTGCAACTCAACATTTACCGGTTCATCATTGAAAAGTATTACGGGTACATAGTTTCTTCGATGTTCGTTGTATGTCTTCACCCTGAGCTGCAAGATGGGCCTTGGGTGAATGAGGTCCCTGCAATGCCCGCCGAAATTTGTGCTATTATGCAGTTACGTCGTGACCACATTAGAAGACAAGGCTGCGGGTCTCCTCATATATCTGGGACGTTTCCAATGGATGTTTCCGGTGGGGCTGCCAACTTTGCAGAAGATGGTGCCTGGAACAGGTTTAAGTTGCTGCGTGCAGTTGTGTTTTTTCCCGGCGGCAGTGGTACATTGTGTACTATATATCATCGGGATGCAAAGAATCACAGTCTCCAACACACAATCGGTGGTGGAACATGAAACGTATGAAACGATGCAACCGCTGGTTGCGGGTATATATATATATATATAGCATAGGATGAGGAGAGTTCCTGGACAGACGTGAGATAGCACCTTGATGCCCATTCAGACATTCTACATAGTGTGTTTCCAAATCAGACAGCACCTTATTGCCCATTCAGCTATTCTAGAGTTCAGCAGGCAGCAAATGTCGAGTTGGACGGCTTGCGTTTGCTCAGGTGAAACTCGGTTTCCAGACGAGGACCACCTCGACGAGCAGCAGGAGCAGGAAGATGCAACCCAACCTGCCCTGACTGGCAGCGCACCAGCACGCAGTTCTGCTGCAAATGCACGTGCGAGCTCGCCCATTGGCCCATCTCCGCGCACAGCAGCAAAGTCGACAGCGAAAAAGAGGAAGGCAGAGGACAGAGGCCAACCAGAGGAAGCGGAAAATGCAACTGGGGAAGGCGCGACCCAGGCAGAGGAGGTTAAGCAGGAGGGGGTGGATCCTGCCAATGGCGAAGAAGAAGCTTATGAGAAACTCAAGTTCAGAAGGATGTTGCCAGGGGCTGCAACGTCAGACAAAGATTTTGACGACTTTTTCTTGAACCTTGAGGTCGCAAATGATATCTTTCGTTTGGAGCCAGCAGAGGAGATAGACACATCGGACACAATTTTGCACAAAGTCCGCTTGTGGACAGGCTCGGTGGCAGATGTCATGTCAGCAAATACGCCTGACTATATTGTACGGTTGTGTGTTGGAGTCCTTGCCTTTGGAAAGGCTAGACAAGCAGACATCTTCCTCCGAGAGCACGCGCTGCTTTATTGGATCGCAGAAGGAGGACGTACCCTTCGCTTTCATTCTGGTGACTGTTACATGAAGAGTCCTAGCGGTGCATTTCAGCAGCACCGAGGAGTGCCTCCTGACCATGATAGGGTCCAGATGTTTTTGATGCATTTAGAAGGAATTTTCCGCCGGATGCCTAGAAATACACAAAGGGCTACGAGGAACCTTCTCACTGCCGTTGAACGGATGTTTGCAGAAGCGGACGGTGATCAGGTTGCTTTTCTCACTGCCTGTGTTGATGCATGTTTGAACTTTGAAGGGGATGCTTCTGCACGGAAAGGACAAGGTAAAGGAGAGGAAGACGACGTAGCACCGCCCGGAGGTCCATGGACTGCAGCAAGTGCCAAAACTGTCTTGGCGGTAAAGAAGCAATTGTCGTACGAACTCACACAAGATAAACTGTTGCACTACATGTGCGAGTGGTGCGATACCCCCAAAGTAGTTGAAGGAGCGTGTTGCTATGAAGACTGCTGCATCAAGTATGACTTTGAGGAGTCTGCCGCAAAGCAGGTGCAGCGAGCTGCCCTAACAAACTGCTATTTGCGCATTCCGCACTGCCTGAAAGGCACTATTCCACAGAATGTTGTTGATCGCCTGCGAAAATTTTATGCGCAAACCTTTTGGGGCAACATTGACGTTTTCAAATGTGGCCAGGCGGCACAGGCATTAGCCAAACGAGGCATCAATGTCGTTCGCCTCTTCATCGGCCTGTCGAGTGGGGGCGTTGGCCAGTCCTTATACTTCACGCACTTGGAAGCCATGTACGCTCACAATTTCGCATTCTTCGACCCGAACATATGGTACAACGGGGAGGAAATGCGAAAACAGGTTGAGCAGCTGAACGGATGCATGATTTTGACTGGCCAAGAGACGCCTGGAACTGGGAGCGCCTTGGCAGCGAGTCTACTTTCTGATGTAGAATTGAGTGTGGTGGTTCGTGCTTGTGACCAAAGATGCATGGGTTTCCCAGGTTTCCGGGTCAGACGCCATTAAACGCCAAAGTCTCAATGTTAAGGTGCCTAAAGAGAGAGAGAGATATATATATATATATGTTTTACACTGTCCTCAGGAAAGCTGCGCGAAGATCTCTTCAAGAAATTCGCGTCTGCCGATGGTATAGCTGGCCGCAAGCCCTACGGCTTTAAGACACGCATGATTCACTGCATTGGCTGGAAGCGATTAGAAGCGAATCGCATGTTCCACTTCGACGACGTGGACGCCCGCAATTTTAATGCCATTCTGCGGCGGTCCTTCGTCTGGCGAGTGAAAGCCCGCTTCGAAGATCCACATGTGATTGCGGAGGCCTACGAAGATATTCACAAGGACGGCGTCTTTCCGAAAGACCCTGACCTGGCAGTTTTTCTTACGTCGCCGCCTGCAGTGGGCGCGGGATTGCAAATTCAACATGCCTTCGAAGCGGAGTACAGCAAGCAAGACTGTGTGAACATGATTGAAAACTATGTCACATGGGGCGGAGATGGTGGGCTGACCGAAAACACAATGAGAGCTGCCTGCAGGCTGCCGCTAAAAGATGTTCGGGCAGTTGGAAGCAGGGCTGCGGCGGTGATGGTTGTTGATGAACCAGACGAGGATGTAGATGAGCGCGAGAGCTGGCTCACACTTCGGAAAGCAATGGTTGACTTTTTGTTGATCAGGAAAAGACTGTTTCCGTCACAAGCTTTCTTGCAGAATATGAGCGTCCGAGGAGGCCCGAATGTGGCAAAAAGTTGCTACTTGGAATCACTGCTGGCGAGAAATTTTGTCCTCAAGTGCGCTTGCTCCGCTGCCGGAGGAAAGGCATCCGAAGTCTTCGTACCATGCCTGACATTGAAGACCAGTCTGGACACAGTGATTCAGCACAGGGTCCGGGAATGTGATTTGCAGCTTCCGGAGTCATATGATGTTGAGGCTTTTGCGACGTACTTGCACAGTCACCTTCATCGTCGAGAGAACGTTCAAATCTTTGCAGCTTTTTGGAAGCACATGAGCACAGCAAAGCACAAGAAAGCTGGCAAGCCGACAGCGCAGGAGAAGCAACGAAAGGCAGACATGCTAGGCAAAGCTCAGCATCTTCTTGATGCAGAGAAACATGGAGATGATTTGTTGGAGAAGTTTCACGCAACAACAAAAAGGAGAAGAATCGCGCACAGGATTGAAGAGGTAAAAACAGAGGACGGAGAGAAAAGCAATGCTAAGGGCGCTTTGGCTTCAGTAACGTGCAGCTACCACTATTCTGGGCCCACCACGCTTCGCACTCGGAAGCAGGCTTCGGAGTTTAGCGCACAAAGAATGAGTCGACGAGTGCAAGCTGTGATTTTGCCACACACGCACGACCTAGACATTGAAAACAGCCTCTTCACCTTGATAGCGCAGTTGCTGGAGAAACTCGATGTGGATCCAGCCATGCCTGCAGAGGCGCGGGAAGCTTTAGATTTGTGCGCCCAAAACCGCGCACGGGTTTGTGCGGAAATTTTGTCTCTACCTGGCTCGCGTGGAAAGCAGTTGCTCGTCTCCACTTTCTACGGCGGGTCTGTGTCGCCAGAATTGCAAAAGCTGGACTTTGTACACAACTTGCAAAAAGTTTCGGTGTATTGCAAATGGGTAGCTATTTCGTGTCTTTCTGATGAGTATCGCGCCTTTCTGCAGGATAGCAAAAAAACCAATCCAGAAGGGTCACTTCTATCATACCTCTACACTGCCTGTGAAGATTTTATTCTTTCTCATTGGGTGCAATTCTTGATGGAGACCTTTCACCCTCAGCACCTCTCTTTGCATTATGATGGGGTCCGGATTAGCACTGTGGACGCTGTTTCTATAGCAGATGTCTGCACGCAGAGTGAAGCCTACATCAAGCGGATGACAGGCTTCGAAGTCCGCATTCGGGAAAAGACTCACAAGCTTGTACTGCAGGCCATGAAAGAAGCTGCTGTCGCAGGTCCTGCTGTTTACGCAGCTGACGACGTGCTGTGCAAAGCAGGGAACTGCATTCCACATGCGCTGGCGTGCCTGGAAATGCTGGAGCCAGGTCACATGTATGTGCTCAACAATGGGACAGACCAAAACAATGTCTACATGCAGCAGCGTGGCTCGCGCACTTACAGGCAATGCATGAACATGTTTGGCTGTTCTTTCTCCGTAGCCTTGCTGACGGACGGGGAAGTGCCCGAAGGCAAGTTCCTACTACATTGTGAAAATGGTGGGCGGCCACATTGTGTGGGAGTGCATGTTACGCAGGAGTCAGAAGAGGTTGGTCAGCAGGTCACTATGTGGGATGTTGATGGTGTGTATCGGCTAAGCGTGGCTAGCTTCACCGACGCTTTGTTGCGAGGAACTGATGCTTCCACCTCTGTAGGTTTTTGGTTGCAGGCAGACAAATCGGAGGACTTGGATGAAGCTCTCGAAAGGCTGCTGGACTTGGGAGCAGGTAGTTCTGAGGAGGAAACGGTCGCGGAATCCTGTGATGAGATGCTTGCAGAAAGTTGTATCCTGGAGGAAGGTGGAGTGCAGGAAGAGGAACCCTTCGAATGGTTGGACGAGGAAGGGACCGTTGTTGTGGAAGAGGCTTTACTAGGCAAGCTCCAGGCAGAGGTTGACGAGCGCGTGACCAAGTCAGCTGATTGGAAGAGTAGAGGCACCATGCCTTGTCCACTGTGTCCTTTTCGCACGTTCCATCGCCGAGATCACTGGGAGCGCCATGCGCGCAGGTATCACAGCAGGAGACAGCAATACTGTTGTTCAGGAACGAAACAGCTACGTATTGTGATCGCTCTCCATGATGCGGACCAGCTGCACCGACGCAGAGGCCGGAACTATCTCCAAAGGTCTGCAGATGTGTTGCGCCGATCTGTTCGACCAGCCCTGTCCTCAAATTGCAATGCCATCGACAAGCACATCCGGCTGCTTTTGGATGGATCTGGACCTAAGGTGGTGCATGCTGAATATTTAAAGGCAGGCGTCACTGCTCGCCGAGTTGGACGACTGTGGTACACCCATTCCTTTGCTGAACAGGTGTGGCAAGAAATGCTGCTTCACCATGGAAAGGCCGGTGTGACCAGACATGCAGTGTCATTGTTCAAGGCCAGGTCTAGGTTTTGTATTGCAACAGCAACATGTCCGTGACAGTGACCCCGTGCCGGTGTCCAGGCGGCAGCGCTGCGGCCTCGACTACTGGTGAAGGCATTGAACGCAGGCAACCACATCGCAACGCTCTTACCAACACATGTCAATGCATGGTGGCCCCTTGTGGAAGATATTTTTTCATCCGCCGCATGCCAAAGTCTCCGGGCCGATTTGCTGGAGAAAGCAATTGCGCATGGTGAATGCTCCTACTTGTCTGTGGATGGCACCTTCAAGGTTTGCTTGCCGGTGATGGGCCAAGCGCACTTCAATGCTTCTGCTGGTGTGAGGGCGAGCTTTCCATTTCAGGACCATGTAAAGCAAAACTTGTAGCATTTTTGAATCAATAGTCGCTTCTAAGGTTGTCTCCTGTCTTCGTGTTAACAAATATTGTCTGAACAAACATGCAGGACGGTGAGGCTTACACGCGGGTGCTGTCTGTGCGAGGTCGCAGTGGGGCCGTTCTTGCATTAGAGCCTTCTGTCGGAGAAAGCCCTCCACACATCGTCGCTTGCTTGCAGACTTGTTTGCCCCAGGCAGGCCTTCTGCAAGTAGAACATTTGGCCACAGACAGTCCGAACGAAAATTTGCTGGCTGAGTTGACAAATGTGTGTCCCAACTTGAAAGCCTTGTCGTTGGATCCGACCCATGCAGCCATGAAGTACGAGCAGGCATTGGTAGGGAAAAGATCAGCTGGTTCCAGATTGCTGCGATCTTTCTTGGTGAAGTTCACGGCGCACGACCCGAATGTAGAAAGCAACATTTGGGGCCCTTTCTATGCAGGCGGGCCTGTGCCTGAGGTACGGCAAGAAGCGAATCTGCGGCAGCACATCTTGGATGTGTCCATGTCTAAAGCCCGAGCCCGCCGGATTTTGCAGAGTGCTGAGCAGCTTCTGATTTGGCCGACTCGCATTCAGTTCATAGAAGCAGTGGCTGCTTTAACAGCGCTGCATTCAGATGATATGCAGAAAAAGATTGACGGTTCGAAGTTCACTGTGGCAAAGTTCTTATACAAACTTACAGCTGCAGACAAAGTCGAATGGCTAACCAACAACTTACGCTACCGACAGTTTTTGCCTGCATCTCGGAGGATCCTTCTCCCGAGCGGAACAACTGCCAACGAGGCACTGCATGCAGAGCTAAATGCATGGTACAGGCAGGTGCAGCAGATGCACCGAAGCACCCTTGCTTTGAAACTGGGTACGCAAACGATCGGAAAGCTGCTTAGCCACCAAACAGCGCTGCATTGGCCTACAACAGTGCAAATGCCTCACGCCATGGTCCTGGCGGCAGCTACAACGAAGCCACTCTGGACGAAGAGGACTTGGAAACTGTGGGTGCAGGAGCAACGCGAAAGCGGAGTAGAACCATTGCAGCGCCTTGTGCAGAAAAAACGTGACAAGGCAAGAATTCGCAAGTTCAAGCGGCCTGCATCAACAGAAGTTCGCCAACGCAAGCGAACTCCGTTCACTTTGGAGCGAAGAGCTGGAATTAAACGAACCGGCGTCCACAGACGACGTCCGGCTTCGGCTTCTGTTGGATAACGCGCTGTTCCTCCACATCAGCTGCAGCATGGTCAGATACGTCGGTGACTTAAACACAGAACAAGAAGCGCAGCAACATACATCCATGCCAGATGAGTATGCACAGCACCGACACATTCAAGTATGAAGCTGCATGCCAGAGCCTTCCATCCGTCCCACCCTGGTCCCACCCTGGTCCCGCCCTGCCACGCCCTATTCCGATCCCAAAGGTGTTGGTTGGAAGCAATTTGTGGCACGCTCATGTGCGAGCGCATTGCGAGAGTCAATATGGTTACAGTAGCATTGTTCCTGCTGTACTTTCTGGTCCACAGCCCGCATTCAAGCTTTCAACGCAGCAGCTGCATTTCGTATGATTGCAAAACTGTCCGCAACACACAATACAAGATTGCGAACCAGCAGACAAAAACACATGGGCAAAGTGACAAAACCTAGGGAGGCCACAAATGTGTCTGCGCCTGCTGTATGATGTTGCCTGTGGCTACTACATTTAAGATGCGATTATGCACACGCAACTCTATATATATATATATATATGTGTATATATATATATATGTAGACGCATACATTAAGAACTTTGCTAGCACCCGTTGGAACAGCTGCAATATACACACTTGTAAACATGTATGCTTAGAAAGCTTCTGTGTATGCATTTTCGCCGACACTTGATCTTGCTGCAGAGCATTGAAGATGTGTTTCAAAATTTCCTTTCACGGGAAAAACCGTGTCCACGGTAGTAACCCCAGAGAAAATTCGGTTGAAACACATATCTTGTGAATTCCTTTTGCACAAGAAAGTCTCACATGTGGCAGTGCACGCCATCTGCACCGAGAAGCAAGAATGTTGGCCTTGATTTTATCCTTGGAAGTGTTTGTTCAGGTTTTGATGTTCCAGGATCTGTATGTTGTGTTCCTGTGCTGCCTACCGGAATCTGGACAGTTGTTGTGATTCACACAAATATTTGTACGGATGACGCCGTGCATTGAGCCGGATCATGCCAACTCTCTCTTGCAGCTACTCTTGGTAATGATCTTCATTGTCTAGTGTAGAACAAACTTGTGGTTCAGTTCATGGCAGGAAAAGACATGCTGCTTCTTGCAGACCGTTTTTGCATGGCACAGCTTTCGCGATCGTCAGCATGGCTGAAAAAGCCCGCTGCAGGGACTTTCACATGTGGCAGTGCACGCCATCTGCCCCGAGAAGCAAGAATGTTGGCCATGATATTATCCTTGGAAGTGTTTGTTCAGGTTTTGATGGTCCAGGATCTGTATGTTGTGTTCACGTGCTGCCTACCGGAGTCTGGATAGTGGTTGTGATTCAAATAAATATTTGTACGGATGACGCCGTGCATTGAGCCGCATCATGCCAACTCTCTCTTGCAGCTACTCTTGGTAACGATCGTCATTGTCTAGTGTAGAACAAACTTTTGGTTCAGCTCATGCCAGGAAAAGACATGCTGCTTCTTGCAGACCGTTTTTGCATGGCACAGCTTTCGCGATCGTCAGCATGGCTGAAAAAACCCGCCGCAGGGGTTTGCCCAAATAGACCCTGTTTTTCCATGCCACGGGGTTCCCCTGATTTTTTACAGAAATGAAGTTCAAATCCCCATGGGAAGCTGAGGCCCGCCACACAGCATCGGCTTCCCTTTTGTCCTTGGCAGCACTTTGCGATTCTTTGCGCCACTTGGTGAGGCTTTAATGGAAAATCGTAGGAGAATGTTGGAATGCCCCATAAAGGTGGATTATGTGGATTTCGGGAAACAAACCACAAAGGGATGACAATAGAGTACCGTACCAAACTGGGGTTGAAAATGTTACGTGGCAACGTTTCTGACCACAAAGCACTTTGTTGGGCATCATGAGGTGTGACCTCTCTACTTCGGGGCGCAGTTGGGCTCAATGGATGTTGATGAGTATAACCTCTAACCATGGTGATAACCTTCATAAGTATCCATAAGCTGGGATATTTGGGACCCTATGCGGGTTGCATCGGACCGCCACGCAGCCATTCGGCCAGTCAGAAAAACCAGATCGGACGCGAGCAGTGAGCAGCGCAAGAGATGCCGACACCAACACTATGGGGGGGTCGCAAGCAGCAGTCCTATCGTGGGAGCCCTGGTTCCAAAGGTCTCTTAGTCTATGGGCATGAAACCATGAAAACGATGAAACATCCTGAAACATCTTGACATGTTTTGATTCAGTTTGCAGGGACATGTATCGATGTTGTCTGTGTGTTCTATCATTATAGTTCAGGTTCATACATTCACTGTATATAGTGTATATATATAATACATAGATATACATATCAACATACACATACACATACACATACATATACATATACATATACATATACATATACATACGTATACATATACATATACATATACATATACATATACATATACATATCTGACACCAGAATTAAAGATAGCAGGTGGGTCGGCAGACTTGAGATTTTCAAGTCTGAACAGCTGTCAGACTTGGGATCCCAGGGCCCACGGATCCAAGATCCAAGATTTTGAAAAAACTTTTCTTGGATCCAGGGCAGAAATCTGATCCAAGAATTCTACCCTGGATTCAACAAAAGTTTGTTTTTAAAATCGTGGATCTTGGATCTTGGATCTGTACCCAAGATGCTTGCCCTGGATCCAAGAAAAGTTTTTTGAAAGTTTTGGATTTTGGATCTTGGATCCTTACAATGTCAGACTTGAGATGTTCAAGTCTGAACTCTTTTCAGACGTGAGATTCTCAAGTCCAAGAAACTGAGGTAAGACCAAAAAACAAAGCATGAACTTCAGACCAATTTTTTGTGGTTTTCTCGAGGTTTTGTTGCAATGCATATCCACATCCTTTAACAGTAGCAGCAGTAGGTTCAGCCAGATATTGCATAATTCTAAATTTGGCTAGACGCCGTCCAGATGTCCGTTTTTTGCTGATGTTCTCATGGTTTGAGCACCCTCTCAGAAAATTACGTCAAACCATGGGAAGAAATACGAGACGGCCAGGACTAGAAATGTAATAAGTAAACAAGTTTCAGCATGGAATTTGAAGTTTGTTGTCAAAGCAAAATTCTCCCATATAGGTCTTGTGAGCAGTATGTTTCAAAGAATCTGACATTCCTAGCATAAGAGCGCATCATTCCTTGCATAAAGCGACATCATGTTGTACAGTCTCATCCGAGAAAGGAGTGCAGCATTTATTTGAAAGGAATATAGCGTTATTTTCAAAGAGACTTATATACAGCTGTGCAAAGTTAATAAAGCAGTGCAGAGGTTCTTTGAAAGGAATATAAATATAGAGTTATGTTAAAGAGGTAAAGGAATTTATGGAAGGAGGACAGCATTACGACAGAATGGAATCCTTTAAGTATGCATTTTAGCCGATTATGGTATTCCTTAAGGAAGTGTTGGTGCGAGTACGTGCAAAGCCTGCAAAGCCTCCTTCACAAGGGAATGAACCATTTGATTGAAAACTAGAACCCTTGGGTGTCTGTAGTATTTTTTGAAAGATGTAGGCCATGGTCCTACGTATGCAATATGCCGTTCCATATGGGTGAAACACCTGAACAAAATAGACAACCTCATTTTGAATAAGTTAAGTCTGTCCTTTAAAGACTGTGGTTTCTGGCAGAGAGGCACCGCATTGTGGGATGATACAAGGAAAAAATAATAGTGAGGCTGAATTTCATTGAAGGATGTATTGCATCTTTCCACACATTGCATTTTTTCTGCAAGAATGCTGCTTCTTATTTAAGGGGATACCTTGTCTTCAGGGCAATTATTTTAAAGAAGTTAAGTATGTTCTTTAAAAAATGGTCATACAAGAAAAATGAGAGGAAGGCTGAGCTCCATATATAAAAGGATGTATTCATCTTTTCACATTTATATACATTTATAACTTTCTTGCAAGAATAGTGTTTCTTATTGGAGGGACTATCTTGTCTTCAAGGCAGATTGTAACCTGTACGCAGCATTTTTCTTTTAACAACAAACTGTCTTTTTCAAGGAATGCTACGATGAGCATCAACCATTGTACTTTTTCACAGCACTACTCAATGTTAATCACACACTGCATATTGTGTAGGAATCTGGTGTTTTGAAAGAAATACTGTATGATTGAACGAAGGCTGAATAGTTTTTTGAGAGGAAACTGCACTTCTTCAGAAAGGAACACTGCATGTTTAGAGGAAGGCTCTATATATTTGTAGGAATACTGTTTCTTCAAAGGGCTTACAAAATTTGTATAATCAAAGTAATTACATACTTAATTGAAGTGTGCATTGAATTTGAATCTGCATGTCTTTGGAAGAGCATTAAAGGTGGGTCTTGAGGGGGGCTAGCACATATCATATATATATATGTGGAATGTAATGTAATGCAATGCAATGCAATGTACTGTACTGTACTGTAATGAACGTACGTACGGTACAGTACAGTACAGTACATTACATTACATTACATACATACATACATGCACGCATAATCTTACATCGGCTTGTAGCTTGACCTGAGGCATTGTGGATACCTTTACGCCCACAGCAGACCCTGCAGATCTCCGCTTCTTTCCTCGTGGGGGAAGCTCAGCGATTACGCGGTGGAATTGTGCTGGTGGAGCCGAAACCCGCAAAATGTTGGCAAAAAGACTCACAGAGGGTTGACTACAGTTGACTCTATCTGAAAATGCCAACCGAGTCAGAGGTAGTCACGTACTGTAGTTCTTTCCCTAATGAATCCCTAGTGGTCAATTGTATTCAATTGTGTTTTTGGCACTGTTGATACATTTGCAGGGCACATCGAGTATGGTCGGATGGATACCAGCTGCCGCCGGAAAAAGTTTAATGTTCTGCCCCTTTTTGGAAGATGACTTGCCCAAGCATAAGACTTATATATTTCTTGGGGTTGTCATCGTGAAATGAGCTCCACAAAACGCTTCGGTTTTGTTGAGGACTCGTCGGAATGCCAAATGAGCAAAGTCACCAGTTGAAGGAGCCAAATGTATCTCTTAGTATCTGTTTATTCCATTTACATCAATGTCTTCCAGATGATCCCGGGATATCCCCAGCGACTTTCATATCTGATTTAATTTGAAAGAAATTTTGTTGAAGCACCACCTTGGTATCCGGCTCCGCCTGCCCAGATGATCTTCAACAGGGCAATCGCCACGGAGGCTCCATCCCGGCTCTAAACTTGATTTCATGCTCCTTTTTTAGAGCAGATCATGCAGATGTTTTGGGTTGGGTTTTTTGATACCCAATCCACACTGATGCTGATGGCATCAATAGAGTGGATCATGGATCTTCCTAGTACTTGGACCACCTTCAAATTCTGGCAGTTTTACAAGTCACTAGTCACTAGTCCTTTCATAGGTGGCCACGGTTTTCTCTGCGTCAACGGCCACGGTTTTGAGCCATGAGTTGTCAACCTCACTACAGGAGAAAAGCCTCGAGGGAGTGTGCAGAAGGCAAAGCCCAGGCATGGTATGGAAAGCATATGACTGGGAGAGGGGGAGTAGGCCAGATATGAAAACTTGTAGTAAAACGAGTAAAACCAAGTAAAACAAGTAAAACAACCATGTAATGACTGGGTGTGCGTGTTTTGTGTTGTCTAGGTATTCGGGTGAGTTTGTAGGCACTGACCCCAAGATTTCTCGCAGCTCTGCAGGAACTCAGGGGCAACCACCAGCCGCAACATGAGACTGGTAGGGGCCACCCAGGGAGTGGGAAGCAAAGCGGGAGTCAGTCACTCTGATGTGGTAAACTCAATACCGGGTTGTATAAACCATCCTCAAATGGTAGTTTTATCGTTGTTTATTTTTGGCTTTACCACACTATGACCTTCTTTGAACTTCAGGTTCCAGTGTTGGAAATCCCGGACCTCTTGACAAAATGATCGTTGCGATCGTTTGGTTGACGTTCTAGAGACCAACTGGCCCAAAACTTTGCCAGCAGAATGTACGTACTTGGTTCATCTCGTTTCTCTCAGGTTTGTTGGGCTGGGGCTGTCCCAGAGCACTGCACAGGCTTAGTCATGGTGATCATGACCACATCGGTCTTGCAAAAGACTTGAGTGCATATCACCATTGTGAAAGGTAGGATTATGCAGTGCATATGTACTGTATGAGAATTAGCATTATTTGGCTCTATATACATATATATCATATATGCACAGACATACAGACGGCTTCGATTCCATGGCTACGTGTATATACAACCTATTCATTTGCGGTACCCCATTTGTTTCACTTCCGAGGCCGTGACCATCATAGGCCCTGGCGCCGGAATCCATTCCAACCAGGAGGCGCGTCCTTGGGATCATATGGATATCTGGTTGTTGGTTTTATACTCATTCCATGTATGGTCGAAAAACAATAAATATGTGAAGCTCCAACCAGAGAAAGTCATAAATTTTGGATTCTCCAGCAAGCCAAGCAAGATTACCAGCACATGTTCATACATCATGGCTGGTTGTTTTTAGGGGAAAAATCCCGAAATGGACCAAAATACGGTTGTTTTTTTCTGATTTGGAAATGATTGTCCAGCATGGATATGGCCAACTCTTGACTTTACCCATTTGGGTCTAAACCTACGAGACTTTGGAATGAACATCTGGCTGTGTCAGCTATGTTTACATTCACCTTCATGTTGGGGCCATCTCGAAGCAGCCGCTGTGCGCGAGGCGTGGGGAGCATTGGATCAAAATCCAAAGCTTTACCTGCAAGTCTATGGCCAATCAAGGCCAGCTTCTCCGGAGCATTGTGGACATCTGACCCAATGCGATCCGTGACTTCACATAATATAGCTGAGATCATTATTCTAGGTGATTTGCCAGTTTCATTGAGTGCCTACCTATCATCATACATACATACATTACATTACATTACACTACACTACACTACATTACATTACATTACATACATACATATATATATACATATATATATATATATATATACGGTTCTACATATGTATATATGCATGCATGCATGACAGACAGACAGGCAGACACGCAGACACGCAGACATGCAGACACACAGACAGACAGACAGACAGACAGACAGACAGACAGACAGACAGACAGACAGACAGACATGCAGACATGCAGACATGCAGACATGCAGACATACATACACATGCATACATTCAATCATACATTCAGACATTCAGACACTTAGACATTCATACATTCATGCACTCATAGATTCATACATTCATACGTTCATACGTTTATACATTCATGCATTCATACATTTATACTATTATACATTCATACATACATACATTTATACATACATACATTCATTCATTAGTGCATGCATACATGCATACATTCATGCATTCTTACGTTCATACATTCATACATACATACATACATACAGACAGACAGACATTACTTACATACACACACATATATTTATTCATACATTAATACATTCATGCGTACATGCATACATGCATTTATGCCTGCATCCATACATACGTACATTGATACATACATACATTTTTACATTTATACATACATGCATACATGCATGCATGCATACATGCATACATTGATACATACACACATACATACACATACATAGATATACATACTCATGTGTATAAATACACATACATACACATTCATTCACAGACATACACACACAGAGTCACATATATATACATACATACACATAAATATACACATACACATACACATACACATAAATATACACATACACATACATTTACACATACATATACATACACATACATACATATACATACATCTACATATCTATACAGAACTATACATAACTATACATATATACTTATATATATAGTTTTATATACATGGTCCTGCAATTTTTGTTCCCCTCGCCATCGCCACCATGGCGCCAGGGGTGCCTATGACCGTTATCCCCCGAGTTGGCCTGGCGGATCCCCAGCACCCAATTTGGAAACTCGGCACCTGGAGAGTCGCCAAAAAATCACTGTTTCCTTGGATTGATTTAAGGGAAAATCTAGAGGAAATGATGGATTTTCCCATGAAATATAGGGGTTTTCCTGAAATTTTAGGGTGGTTTCAGATGTTCCCCTCTTGTAGTTCAACATAGCTATGGAAAATGGATTTACTACGCAATTAAGTTTCCATGTTAATTACTAACATGTAAAAGAATATAACATAAAAATTAGTGACTAAAGTTAACATCACCTGAAATTTAAATGATCCCCTTCGGTAATTCAACATAGCTATAAAATGGATGAAAGTGGACCATTTAGATCCATTTAATTCGGCGATTTAGCTGTTAAAATGGTGATTGTCCATAGCTATATATATATCAATTTTAGATTATGTTCACCATATTGGGGTACATAAAGGTACATACCCTATTTTGAGTTCCAAATGAAGGATTTACTCACCAGAAATTGATGTTTCTATTTGAACGAAGAATGGAGATATGCCCTGGGATGCATAGAATACAAGTGGATAGCCAATGGAAATGCTGGGTACGGGTCTATATTCAAGACGCCACGGCTCGCCGCTGATTTGTGCTGTCGGTTGTCTCCTTTGCATCCAAAGATGCTCTTGCTGTAGTCTTTGGATTGCATTCCTGTTATGTTTGAGACCCAGAAAATACCCAAAACAATAGTTGTGACAAGCAAGACTCCAGAGCTGGCTGTTGATCAGGAAAGCCTCAGAGAGGAATTTTCTATGGTTTCCTTAGGTCACCACTACTTGGATCATCCGACTCAAAACTAATGGATTTGTTTAATGCTGTTTTGATCTTTTGCTGCATCCTTTTGCTGAGCACACCTGGGGACTTGGGATAGTCCTAGAGACGCCCGCCCAAGGAATCTTTAGCAGAGGACGGCATCGGTGTCGTGGTCGGTTTCGGCTTCTCAGGTTGGCACCCCTTTGGACTCTTACTTGTCAATTCGTACCATAGACTGCAAATTTTCCTGCTGGGTATCAGATACAGCGCGCTGTTCTAAATCACTTTGAAGTTTTTTGGACGACCGCCTGGTAACGATTGTGGTGTCATCGAGAGGTAAATCGGGGATCGCCATATCCACCCCCCTATTTACAGCATCAGCTGTGGGTCACGAGGAGCTGACATCCTCTGGTGTGGTTGAAAATTCCCATTGTACCTTGGCTGTGAGGGATGTCGCCCTTGTGGAGCTATAACCCCAAAGGGTCCAAAAAAGTCACCTGCAGAGTGCATGTCCAGCCCGATCATAACCTATGTCATGTTCGAGCTACCCTTTGGTTCCAGCCATCTCTTTGATCTTCCTACCCCGAGCTTCTGACTGCATTTTCACGATCCCAACTTACATTATGATGGTTGTCTCAAGTGACACGCAGCCCACCAAGCACTTGGATATGCATCCAAGTCACGTTGGAAAATAATGCTGATGAGTAAGTTACCCATCCTTGGATTACACGTTCATGTCTGCACTACTGAAATGGTGATTAACCAGTTCTCCCATCATTTACGGGTGATATCACCTTGTTTTGTTGTTTGAAAACATGATTTTTTGGTGGTCGTTAAATCCCAATTTTTGCCGATCAAATGCCCCATGTGTGTTGGTTAAACCTCACGGCTACTCTGGTGATGTGAACCGCACTTCCGCGGTGATTCACAGTTACCATTCCCGGGATAGCGCACACCAAATCGGTTTTACTTCCACATTTACTCAAGATGAATTACTGCGACCTTGCTGGCCAATCTCATGAAAAAACTGCGTACTGGTTATGGTTAGCAGGGGGAACAACCCCAAAATGATTTGGGATTGCCAATACCTTTTGGATTTTATTGGCAAATACATTCACTTATCATAGTTCTCAAAATTTGTTTATTTGGATTTGATTGGACATATTTTACGATTTGACTGGGCAACCATCTAAAATTTGCTTAGTTTCCATGTTTTGAATCTTGGGAACAAAATGAATCATTTGAGAATCATGATATGTGTATATGTTCCCATATTAAAGGGAAAAAACACGAAAGTGTTCTCAGTATATTTTCGCAATCCCAAAACAAAATTATGATGAATTATACCCCAAATTTTAACGTGAAGTCCAATACAAAAAGATTCGGAGGATTATCTTCTTATTGGATATGGCCATGTCATTCCATTTTGGGGTCCATGCCAAATTTATAGTAACCAAAAAAAAGATAGACTTCAGTCATTCGCAGCCAAATTTTAGGATTGAATTTAACTAGCTTCTATCTTTTGGGTTGCTATATGGCTTTGATTGAAAATAAGGTACCCACAAAATCCAGTGGGTTAATGATCATTTTCCTGTTAAAGCGCTAGTTTGGATATAATTATATAGTTTAAAAAATAAGCTTCGGTGGTATCCCCAACAGCCGCAACGGTTTATTTTTACAATCTTTCTGAAGCGTGCTGTGAAGCCAAGCGCTGGATACACCTCAGCTGGGTTTCCGTGAGTTAAATGGCCGCGAATCCTGTTGAACCTGAGCTGGAACCCTGTTGAACCTGACCTGGCTCTGCACCTTCTCCGGAACCTTCTCCGGAACCTTCTCCGGAACCCTGTTGAACCTGACCTGGCTCTGCACCAAAGCCTCCCAGACCTTCTCCGGAACCTTCTCCGGAATCCTGTTGAACCTGACCTGGCTCTGCACCAAAGCCTCCAGACCTCCGGAACCTTCTTCGGAACCCTGTTGAACCTGACCTGGCTCTGCACCAAAGCCTCCCGGAACCTTCTCCGGAACCTTCTTCGGAACTGAACCCGTTGAAGTTGACCTGGCTTTGCACCAAAGCCTCCCAGACCTTCTCCGGAACCTTCTTCGAAACCCTGTTGATCCTGACCGGGCTCTGCACCAAAGCCTTCCAGGCCTTCTCCGGAACCTTCTCCGGAACCTTCTCCGGAACCCTGTTGAACCTGACCTGGCTCTGCACCCTCCCAGACCTTCACCGGAACCTTCTCCGGAACTCTGTTGAACCTGAGCTGGCTCTGCACCAAAGCCTCCCAAACCTTCACCGGAACCTTCTCCGGAACCCTGTTGAACCTGACCTGGCTCTGCACCGAAGCCTGCCAGACCTTCTCCGGAACCTTCTCCGGAACCCTGTTGAACCTGACTTGCCTTTGCACCAAGGCTTCCTGGAAGCTTCTCCGGAACCTTTTCCGGAACCCTGTTGATCCTGACGTGGCTCTGCACCAAAGCCTCCCAGACCCTCTCCGGAACCTTCGGAACCTTCTCCGGAACCTCGTTGAACCTGACCTGGCGCCTGCACCAGTGCACACCGGAGCTATTCTGGGCTGAAGACCCCATTAGCTTACGCTGTTGGGGAGAAAATACCCCCATGTTCAGACACACCCAAACATCACATTGTTGGTTATATAATATCATAATTATGTCCCATTGCATCTTCATTCAATCCCACTATGAATCCCTAGTGTTAATGATTCAATTCCCAATTCAGAGATGTCCAGGCATTGTCCTTGGGTCGCGTGGCGGGCAGATCGTCTTGCCTCATCTGTGGAGCCGATTTGGCGACGAGCCTCGGCAACGAAAAGGGCGGAGTCTCAGGAGGAACGGAAAAGGAAAGGGGTACTACGGATAGCGATGATGAACCAGTGGATTTAGGGATACCATGGGATACCCTAGTTTCAGACAAACCCAAATAGATATGTGTTTAACCCGAAAAATCATGGTGTTTAACCAGCAACAAATTGTGTTTTGCAGCAGAAATGAGGGTTCCCCAAACACTGTGTCCACACTGATGGGTTCTTACGGTAGTAAGTGTTAAAGGCCGGGGTTAGATCAGGGTGCTCCATCATTTTCACTGGGAATTCTCGCGCTAAAGTTCCCGATGTCCATTTCGTGTGGCAGGCGTGGGACATCCGGGACATTTTGAGGTCTAAAACGTCGTTTTTGCGTGACACGCGCATGATATCGGACAGGCGTGGTACTTTCTGCACGTTGCTAAAACGTTGACAAGCCTGGGTCAAAATGAGAGGTGCTTTTGGAGGTCATTTGGCGTGGCAGGCGCTGTATTTGGTGAACTTGGAGGAGGTTTTGAAAGGGTCGAAAGTCGCGTTTTGTGACAGCGTTGTCATTTTTGACTTTCGACATGATGATTCCGTGTGGCAGGTGCAGCACTTCGGATGCCTCGGGCTCATTTTCGTGGCAGGCGCATACTGTACTTTGTACCTCAACAAAAATGTTGCTGAGACCTAGGCAAAACGTCTCTTTGGACTTTCAATGTTCATGTTTCGTGGTAGGCGCAATGTTTTGTGAAAATCTAACATGTGCTCACACAACCCTCTCGTGACTTTGTGCGTGTCGGATCGCTCTCGTTGTGGCACGGTGCGAATTTTGATAGGCGCAACCCTCTCGTCACTTCGTGCGTGTCAGATCACTCTGGTTGTGGCGCGGTGCGAATTTTGATATCGCTCGCGCAACCTTCTGGGCACTTGTGTGTGTGTGTGTCAGATGGCTCTGGTTGTGGTGCGGCGCTGATTTTAGCTGATTGTCTGAGATCCTGGTAAAGAGATCTTCTGAATTCTCTGGAAGGGTGCAGTCTTAGAGGCCCGTAATATATGAAGATCTTGACCCAGGTCTTGTAGAGGTCCTTGTGAGAAGATGTTGTGAAGATTGTGATGAAATCCTGTAAGAGGTCCTTGCATTTTCTTGTTCAGGTCCAAATGAGAAGATCTTGTGAAGATCCTGCTGCCATTCTCTAAGAGGTCCTTGCATGATCTTGCGCAGGTCCTTATGACAAGATTTTGTGGTGATCCTGGTGAAGTCCTCTTTAAAAGGTCCTTGCATGATCTTGTTCAGGTCCTTAACAGAAGATCTTGTGGCGATCCTGGCGGGATCATCTCCAGGAGGTCCTTGCATGAAGGTCTCGCAGATGCCATGTATTAGAGGGGCTTGTATGAAAGCTCTTGTGGGAGGCTCTTGGGAGGTTCTTGTATCAAGATCT